AAAAAAAAAGATAGGGGGGGGGGGGGGGGGGGGGGTTTGTAAAATATTTGATATTTACTCATTGTAAAATAAAAATTCTACGATTTTTAAATTTCTAGCTTATAAACTTATGGTAGGTTTGTTTTTACGTCAAATTATTATTTAAATGGAATATTATAACAACGAGTAACGACGTCGACATGACATTGACATTGACATAACAACGATAGTTTCGATGACTTGACAGATAAATCATTCGAAATTACTAACAATGCCCGTTACAAATTATAGCATACATAGTAACGATGTAAAACACTGCAATCAAATTTTTGAAGTTTAACGAAAACCGATTAAGGCTGTAATTGCCAATTACTAAATAGACCACTATACATTTTGAGATAGTATGGTTATATTAGTTATGATACAGTGTTTTACTCGTCGCAGCTGAGGATAGAGATGGGATTTTATAGCACTTAAAAAGTTGAAACATCAACTATATAATACTTCCTTAAACGCATTAAAATATTTCAAATTGAAAACTTATATTGAAAGTAGACTAAAAAAATTCAAGACATTCTAAATTTTTCCTCATGGCGATACAAAACAAACTAACTACGTATTACATACAACTTACATTATATAACTAATAAGCCTGGCCTGCTTCTTAAAAATAAGTAAATCGTAAACGGCCGATATTGGCATTTACTGTTGTCTACGAGTAGAAAAAAATGAAAAACACATCAGTGTGAATATTAAATAGGACAAAATAATAAAATAATGAAAAGGTTCATACAGTATGAATTCGTAAAAAATATTTTCTTAAATGTCTTTATTTATTTTGTTAATAAAATATGTCACTACGTGACACAATATAAATAAACAGTATAATATGGTGTCACTTTTACATTTTATAAATGCTATACGAATTGATCTCGGGTTGCACTTAAAACCAAAATCTCCTCCCACTTGTACGCTATTATTTACCTACACTTTATGGACTGGCACGATTCGAAGACCTCTTCGCTTGTAGCAAACCGCGGACGCTCCGGCGGCGGTCTGCGGATGATTATTACGTGAGCGCCATAAAACCAAACTAAATAATACATTCGCAGTAGTTAATAATATACAATATTTAAGGTACACCCGTTTTCGGCGATTTAGGATTTTTATCATCATCATCATCATAATCATCGTAGCCACCGACGACGTCTCTGCGTACCGTGATTATTACCGTAGGTAATTATTGTATATTATTATTATGGTATAATAATGAAGTCGACGACGACGGCGTTAATTATCGTTTATTATAATCGAATTTGTGATGGGTAAATGTATACTTGGACCACGCCAAAGTACAAAAGTACCTATCTACCTAATACGTGAAAGTATATAGAATCGAGTGCGCATTATTAAATAATTATTATGCATTCGAAAATTACAGCCATGTGCCCCGGGAAAAAATCCAATTTAACGATCAAACGTGAATATAAAACCTTTTTCTTAATGTTTTTTAAATATACCGCAGTCACCATTACTTTATGGGATGCTAATATGCTATTTTATAGTAGTGTAATATTATGTTACAATAAATAATAATGCATTAATATTTATTATTTAATATACGACATGGAGTATATTCTACAGCGTAATTCTAACGTTGGCCTTAAAAACAACAACCTCACCCAGAGTGGCATAAAATATAATAATCAATTACGATCATTATTATTATAATTATAGGAGGTGTTGGGGACAGGTGTGTGTGTGTGTGAGTAAGAAATAGTGTAAATTACTTCAATTAATAGATACTATATATTTTATTGAAATTTAAATCGACATTATAAAAGTATATTTATTTATAGGTACGTATTACAATATAATGAAGGCGTTTGAACAAAATAAACTCGTAAACTCCACCCGACGGAGGCCTCTTCAAATTACATTCTCGAGTTTTTTGACTAAGAAACTACGTTCGAACTTTGGTTTTTCAAAAGTTTTTACTTTCGACGGGTTTTATTCAACATTCCAGTACATTTTAAGAGTGTACAGGACTCCAAACTTTTATATGTTTATATATATTGATGGATTTGTTCCATTGTTTGAAAAGTCTTTCGGGTTTCACAATAGTTATTCGACTTGGAGATAAAAAAGAACAACAATACCAACTCACAAACCAAGTTTAAGGGAATAATATTTTTTTTCATTAAAAATCGAGATCCATAATTCATACATAATATATACAATTTAACATATTTCATACGAGTATAATAATTTATGCTGCTACAAAAAAAAACTAAACTCAAAAAAATAGGTTCATGCGGATAATGTGCCTAATATTCTTCTCTCAGCATTATTATTAATGCACAATTCGTGTATTAGATTGTCTTTTGTCTTAATTGTTGGTTATTATACGATGGAAATATTTTCGAATTGTGATTGGTCTTCAATATAATATATATATATTTATTCAGTTATTGTTTGATACAATCGAAATGTTTTAAGTTCTATACCAAACGATAGAGGTACCACCAGGTATACACTTTTATAAACTTTATACCATTATAATGTAGATAATGTATTATGTTATGTACGTTTTTAACACGGCATAACATTTCGATAAATATAGGCAAGGTATATTATTATTGTCTAAACACTCTAATAACCACCGCAGATACTTTCAAGAAAGTCGTCATCTATATATTTTATACGTCTATCGCAAATCGGGTCCGAATCGACGAAGCGGCATATAAAATGTGAGACAATATTTTTGAAGTAATAAATTAACGTTATAAATACTTATAATACAACAGAAATACAGAAGCTACATCAGTGCTAAGACATCGTGTTAGAAAGTCGGGACAGCTGTGATCGGGAACTGCTGTATTATGTGCACCGGTATACATAATAATAACAACGACGATAAAAATAATAATAATATGCGAGCGATGAGATTATTTACCATGGCGCATAAAAATAATAAGACGGACGTTGTACCCTCGAGCTTGTGTATACACAAGTATAGAGTTGGGAGATCTTTCTCGCCGGTTTAATAATGCTCTAGAGCCTTTTACGACAACATATAACTACGGTATATATTATAATAATACACAAAGGAGGATTTAGAGGGGGTGTTTGGGTGCAGTAGCACTCCCCCACTCACAACATCCATCGTGCATATGTGTTCGTCGTAACAAGAAGTAGGGATACATTTTTAAGGATTTTTGTACTTCAAGTAGAATATAAAACTAATGTATTCCTGCGATACCTACCTAGGTGTTCAAATTATGTAAAAAAAATAGTTTATTTAGATTCGGTGATTGGAACATATACTTAGTGAACTTCACAAACAAATATTATG